ACATGCGCATGTCTATGATACGGGCTGGCTGAGTCTGGGGCAGGGGGAGGTCATTGCAATGTGAGCTTGCTGTTGGAGCTTTATCTCTCTCTGTTTTGTTGAATAAAGAAATGAAGTTAGCAACATTGTGACTTGTGTCTAACCAATGGAATTTGGGAAGGATGGTGGGATGTACATGATTATCTAAAAGTGTAGAATCTGTCTTGCTAGATCCCTCTCTGTTACAGGTTTTGAAAAAGCAAACTGACATAAATCCTACTGCTATGAGGAAATAAATTCTTCCATATCCTGAGTGAGCTTGAAAGTAAACCCTTCTCCGGTTGACCTTCCAAATGAGAATCCAGTTTTGATTGATAGCTTGATTGCATCCTTACAGGATCCTACTAAACCATTCCTAGATTTCTAATCTTCATAGAGAGATAATAAATGTGTGTTGTTCTAATCCACTATGTCTGTGGTCATTTGTTACACAGCATAAAAAAAAAAAAAAAATACATTCCTGAAGTCAAGAAAGCCAAGTCTGATCTGTTTCTTTAAATGTGTTAAGTCATAGAACCTCGAAATTATTCACTTTACATCTCAAGGCTTTGATGTCCTCTTCTGCTAAACAAGGGGGTGATTTTTAGTAAAATCGAAGATGCTCCAATCCTTTTATGTCATAAAACATATGAGAAATCTGTAGACAAAACAACTAAATAGATCTTATAAAATTGGGAGGAAAGTCCTCAAATGTCTTCACTCTCATTTTATAACCCAAATATTATGAGAATCACAGATTGAATATTTTTGGACTGCATAACTTTTTTTTTCTTAAGAGAGTTTTTTTGCTGTAGGAAGCATGTACTCGCCAGAGAGACAGAGAGAAACAGAGACAGGAAGTGAGAAATAACCCCCCAGGGGGATGCCATACCACAATCCCTTCTCCTTTCTCCATTCTACTATCAGGATTTGGTGCATGCACACATGCCTGGTGCAAATTGTGAGTCACCAGGTCCTGGACTTGAAACACGGTCAACTACATGGGACTCCAGTGACATAAACATTACACCATCTGCTATTCCTGAGACTGGGTAAGTTTTAAATTATTCAGATTATTCTAGTCTAATGAGGTCATGAATTTGTGATAGCTTCAAAAAAGAAAAAAATGGAGGGAGAATTATGCCCACCATTTTACCAGGTGGACAAGGTGAATTCTAGACACACAGTATAAGATTACTTTTATCACTGGATGGCATGGTCCCTACCATTGCCCACACTATCCCCATTACACCTTTCTCTGAAGTACATGGAGTGTAATGCCATTATCCTTCATGATTTTGATCAACAAATAAAATATGTTTCAAAGGTTTCAAAGTTCTGTGGCATCATATGTACTGTTCAATATGAACCCAAACTGAGTAAGAAGTCTTCTGTCAAGTACATTTGTGCACACATGTACATGTATGTGTATACATGTGTATGCATACATATTACTAAGTGTGTGTGTGTGTGTGTGTGTGTGTGTGTGTGTGTGTGTGGTTTGGAGAAAGGAATCAATGGCATAGGTAACAGAATTACTAAATATTACCATTGACCTCATTTCTTTACTTATTCCTACATGTACATCTTTGCTAAGGGAGTCTGCAGCTCTGTTAAAAGTGAAGTACATTCCCATGTCCTTCAAATTGGGGCTTGGCCATAAAACTTGATTTGGCTAGTGGTGTGAAAGTAGAAAGGAGAGAATGCCAATTCCAAGACTAAACCTTAAGATACTTCTTACATTTTCTCTTCTGCTCTTATGCCCCCATGATGGTCATGAGAAGAACACTTATCTACTAGCCAGTAGGTCCAAGGAGAGTGAAAGACACAAGAGAGAACCACCCAAAGCAATCCACAGAACTTGAAATAAAAACAAAGATAAATCAAGCTGCCCACCCTGAAAAGGAGTTGCTCCCTTGAGCCAACCTAGATCAGCCAAGTATGCCAAACCCACAGTTCTTTCAGAATAATTGCGTGCTGTTTTAAATCACCACATATTGCATAGCATTATTTGTGCATCACTAATTTGTACCCTGAGCTAAGGTCCTAAGAAACACAAGTCTCCGTCTCTTTCTCTCAGATCTAGGTTTTCAAAATACTCTGTATGTCTTCCTCACATATTCTAATAATTTAAACTTGCTAATAATCTTGCCATTGAAAGTGTCTATCTGCCTAACTAGTGACACTATACCAGAGAAGGGTTGGTAAAATTGTTCTCTATTGGAAAAATGTGTATATTACAAATTTGGAAAGACAAAAAAAGAAACATAAAATTGACAGGATAAGAAATTAAGATCATTACAGTATTCTAAACAACTTGTCTCTTTATATTTCCTTAACTGTACAGAAAGTCACTATGAAATAGGAGGTTTTAAGATAGAAAGCTTAGTTGCTGCTTATATATTTACCATTCACTGCTTTATCTTCTTGGTGGATTGACCCTTTTATCACTTTGTAATATTCTTTTCTGTTTCTGACAATTTCCTTTGCTCTAAAGTCTATTTTATCTGAAATTAATATAAGAACGGCTACATTGTTAAATATTTGCATGGTATATACTTTTTCATTGTTTTAGTTTCAATCTACCTATGTCATTATAATTCAATTTCTTACAGAAAGAGGCAGCTTGATACTTTTTACTCACCCTATCTTTCAATTGGTATATTTAGATTATTTAGTTAGTGCAGTTATTGATTCGTTAGGGATTCTCTGACATTGAATTTTATGTTTATTCTCTTTTTCATTTCCCTGGTTTCTTTTTTCTTTCTGCTTGTGGAATACCTGAACATATTTCAGATTCTACTTTAGCTTATGAATACTGATTTTTGAATTATTGATGTATTTAACCTTTTATTTGTTATAATTGTTTTTTAATTTGAGCAGAGAGAGAGAAAGGGAAGGTGAGAAAGCAAGCCCCCAGGTCCAGGACTTGAATCACATTTGGCCATGTGGGAGTTCAGCACCTTCACCACCACACCACCTGCTGGCCCCTGTAACATTCTTTTTAATAGCTGCATGAAATTCCGTTGTGTGAATGTAGCATCATTTATTTAATTGGTTCATAAATATAGCTTAATTCTTTGAATTTATATGACATGTCTGGCTTCAGACATTTTTCAATTATGATGTTCACTTTATTAAGAGTTATCTTTCCTCCTTGGTATCTATCCAAAGGACAGAAGAATTCTTAATTGGAAAAGTGCTTTCACATCTATTGTGGCACTATTCACAATTGCTAAGACATGGAATCAACCCAAATGCCCATGAACAGATGAATGGGTTGAAAACCTGTGGCACATATACTCTATGGAATACTATTCAGCCATAAAAAAAAAAAACTGGCTTTTGACAGAAAGTGGAAGAATATGGAAGATTTACTGCTGAATGAAGCAAGCCAGGCTATGAAGGAGAGACATTGTATGTCCCCACTTAATATATACCGAATGTCCGCACTCTATGACTGAAACCAATTGACTAAAGGATATAGAAACATAGTAAATGGATGTAGATGCCAGATACAGTGTGTGTGAAAGAGGAGGGTCTGAGGAAGGACATTTAGAAAAAAAATAGGGAGGCAAAGCATTAATGGGACAAAGGAATGTGGTATTATCTGTTGAAGATATTTTATAGTTTTATCACCTGGACTAGGGAGAAATGTTCACATGCTGAAATATTCACTTTGTAAGTTAAATAATGTGATTGAATGTGTAAAAGATAGTGAAAAAAATGTAAAAAAAAAAGAGTTATCTTTCTAAAATAGCATTTTATAGTTTATTTTTCCTAATGAAAGTTGTGATAAACTGGGAAAAGCTATAATGTCCTTGGTTTTTTGTTTTCTCATATTTAATCTAACTTAAAAAAAAAACCTTGTATTTTCTCAGACTATACTAGCTGTAAAATAAAAATGAATTTCTATTGTAAGAAATGCAGATTTGTTTTGACTCCTACAGCAACCTCTATTATAGAAACTTAGATATACTCTCATACATATTTTTCCTCAATGGCCCTGGCATGCCTCATATGTCTATTAACCTAGCTATCTTTGTGATAATGTGGAAGGAACTATTTCTCTCTTGTTTTCTAGCTCTAGTTTCCTGATATGATGTGGCAGATATGTCAGATACCCAATGGGCCATTTGAAGGTTTCATAATACCTCTGGTATGATTTCTCCTGAAGAGATAGTTTTTGTCTGATGTCATCAAAATGTGTTGGGATTTTTCTTTTTTGGGATGGGGTATTAGAAATAGAATTACTGTTTTCTGATTGACAAATTGTTTCATTTAAGGAATGTTCATAATGTGCAAGGTTGAGTGGACATGTTTTGCTTACCCAGTTAACTTAATAAATTTTAAAAGCATGGATCTCAAATGGTTTAGAATTAAATGATTATCATACTTCCTATCTCTTAAACTATGACTTGCATGAGCACAATCAAAATTTTTATACCATTGATTTTACTCATTATAGTAGCCCTCTGGGTTATTCATAATCAGCTGCATAACTGGTCAAACCAATTAATTTGCAATCATCTCTTAAGATATCTAGAAAATATTGAGTCATTTAAGAAGCAATAGAGTCAATGATTCCATATTATAATTTGACAATATCATCAAAAAGCAGTAGATGAATTATTACATTTCCTTTAAGCTGGTGAGAAGATAGTATCCAAATCACTAAATAAGGTGTTAATACTGTAATTCAAAATTCTTGAGCTTAAGGGCATTGCATTGAATCTCCTAACAGTGTAAAGAACTTTTTTCCAGGTAATTTTCAATTCCATTACCATATGTGATGCACAAGAGTATAGCTACACATCAAGTCAGCTTTTGAGCTGATAGGTTTTTACTGAGTATTTATAGAGCATATTATTCTACAATGTAAGGTACAGCACATCTTGCAGATCTTTTCAAATTTATTATTATGAGTTCCCTGCAAGAGGTACATCATTTTTGAGGCTGAGAAAACCTGAGAAAATGCTGACCTTTTGACTCAGAGAATCTGTGCTTAAAGGCAAGCTTCTTAACCAGGAAGTTCAGTGTGGCACACATTTCCCCATAAAGCCTCATCATTTTGTTTCCATTGTACCAGTTCAAGAGAATTATCCGTCTCTTAGAGACTTACATTTTATGGGTAACTTTTGTTATTATGCCTGAAAGGAAGAAACAGCAGCTTTGTAAGTTTTTACCAGTTTAAAAACAGTCATATGATTTGCATGTGACAGTCAATGACAGAAATCAGTCAAATGCTCTCCTAATATTTAACTGTACAGGCTCCAGTCTGAGTCAGACAGCCACGTTTAAAATCCTGGCTTAGCCACTTAATAGGTATTTGATCTCAGACAAGTTACTTATTCATTAGGACTCAGTTTCTTTATCTATAAAATCAAAGCTAGTTTTAATGTCAACCCTCATATACTTGAGAGATGACTAAATATGATAACTCACATAAATAATTTAACAGAATTCTTAGTGCTTACTCTGAGCAAAATAAATGTTAAATATTATTGTTGTTATTATATATACAAGCTGATATATAGGAAGACTTACCAGCACACTTTCACCATAATTGCTCCAGTAAATATGGTCAATGATTACTTGAGAAATGAGAAAAGCCAAAGTAAACAAGAGTCTATATGTTAAACATCATGGATGATCTGTTGTTTTATTTGCTTGAGCATCAATGTTGTAAAACTACAGTATAAACTCATCTATAAAGAAAACAGAAAATGCTCATTCCATTTTTATAAATAGACAGGTAATTCTAGCAAGTGAAATCATATAGTAAACACAAAAGTCAAGTTTAGAACAAACATTTAAATCTTCATTCTCAAGTTAACGTTTCCCAAAAGTCATCTTTTTATTTTAGTCTTTTGAAATAGAATGTACCAAGTAAATCTAAAATGTGCCTTATTTTTTCCCCTCTAGATGCCATTACAGTTGCTTACTGAACCACTTCCTAAGTTAAAGAAATAGAACATAAACATTGCTTTCCACAATTGAAAATCATTTTGGCTCTTTAACATACATTTCTCCAGCAGAGGGAGCAAAAAAGTTTTTGTATTTTCTCTTCTACCAGAAGGAACTTCTCTAACTTACAATGTGCTTTTGGATAAAAATTCTGCAAAACAGGCTATATTACAGAATAAATTTGTAATAAATAAGTATTCAAATAAACTTAGTGTTCTATTAAAATACTCACAAAATACTTTTAGTTTTAGGTCTTCCACATTTAATTTTTCTAAAGATACTCTGAAAAATTTAATTCCAGCCATTCATATATCTTCTTTTGAGAGTTGTCTGTTCAGTTCATTTGCCCATTTTTTTAAGTGGATTATTAGGGTTTTTTTTTTTTTGGTAAGTGAGCTGCTTGAGTTCCCTGCATATTCTCTAAATAAGAAATTATAAAATAAACAACATTGGGGGAAATTTTTCATTGTAAATATTAGCCAAAGAAAAAAATATTTTTAAGATCCTGAAATTCTAAAATACATATAGTGAATTTTCAAAAATACTCTGGAGTTTTGAGGGGTTTTTGTTTGTTTTTTGTTTGTTTTTTACCTGCCTATTTTCTTTTTTCTTTCTACCTGACTATTTTCTTTGAGAGATCCTAGTCAGGTGTAAAAGGTTATTAGGTTTAAGTATGAATTTCCATTCTTATCAAGAATGTTCTTTTCTGAGTACCTAATACATTTAGCATTTACAAAATCTTATTATATATCCTGAAACCAAGACTGAGATGTTGAATTTCTTAAGTCAATTGCTCCACACATGCAAATAGACACTCACACGCACACACATACACACACGCACATACACACATACACACAAACGAGAGCACCTCAAAAAGTTCATGAAAAAATGAAATTAAGTATGGGTTTATTTTGATGAAAATAATTTGAAATTCATGTATTGTTTTTGTAATATGAATTTTTCCATTAACCTTTTGAAACCTCATATTAACAATTATATTAGGTCACCAGGAAAGTCATGACATATTTTTCTGTGCAAAAATGCATCGTAACTTTCCAGACGACCCAATATTATTTGATAATAATATCTTTTTTATTTAAGTATAACGCTTAGATTTTTTTAAGTTTATTTAGTTATTTGTTCGATAAGAAAAGGAGACAGAGAGAGAGAGAGAGGCACTTTTGGTGGGTTTTTCACATTGCAATCCCACCCCCACCACCAACCAGCCAGGATCACAGGCCTGCAAGCATGCAGGGAAACCTTGGGTTGCAAACTCAGGACCTTTTCATATAGTCTTATCATCGTGGAGTGTGGTGTAACCATTTGCCACTGCAGCTGGCTGTAACTCTCAAATTCAGCTTTGATGTTGGCATTGATATTGGAAGCATTAGGAGACCCTCAAAGAGTTGCCAGCAGTTGACTATAGCAACTCAGACGTAAACCTCGAACTCTGTGGTACTTCGTACTTCATACTTCAACTACAAAGGTGGAGAAGTAGAGAGAGGGCATATAGCTTTAGTTACAAGTTCAAGCCTAAACTCTTCCCTCAGTGTGACAGGATGTGTTTACTACAACAGAAAATCGTGCCCATCAGTGAAAAGGTAGTTCCTGATTTTGTTCTTCAGAGATGACTTCTAGTAGCTCGTTCCAGTAAATGTGAAAAATAATGTCTACCTCCCTAATACATAAACCTACATAAGTCCCTGGTGATGGTGTCGATATTTGCTAAGTCCCTTGTCTCAGAACTGGTGCTGTCTTTATGCTGGAAAAACGTACAAGGCAAATCAATGTTCCTGTTCCCAGTAGATGACATCTGTGTACCTTCACAAACCTGAAATGTAAAAAGCCCTGATCCCTCTGTCACTTTCACCACATGTCAAAACAATCAAAATTGCTTCATGTGGGACCAGCAGTTAGTGTAATGGTTATGTCACTGAACTTCTATGTAATCGACCATGGTTCAAGTCCCAGACCCAGTGACTTACACTCAGGCCGGGCGCGTGTGCATGTGTGCCCAAGATCCCGAGAGGAGAATGGAGGAGAAAGGATTGCGGCGTGGCCATCCCTGCTGGGGAGTGATTTCTTGCTTTCTGTCTCTCTGTCTCTCTCTGTCCTTCTGGCTACTAAAATGACCTACAGAGAAGCTCATTGCAGTTCATTCTGTACACCACAGCCAAATGTATGTCATTACGATGCAAATCTTGCCATCTTACTCTGCTTCAATCCTTTGATAGCTTTTAATTGCCTCTTTAAGGTTCTTGTAAGCCATCTAAACATATCCACATGGCTTACTCAGTCCTGGCTGTTTTCAGTTTCCTTGCAGCCATTGCTATGTGATCTAGGCAAACAGATCATTTATTTCGATCTTTGGAACACTTCTCAATTTTAGCAACACTTATCCAAAGTCATGGTTTCTCAACTATAGCACACTGACATTCTAGGTTGAAAAATTCTTTGCTGAGATGAGCTCTCCCATGCATCATAAGATGTGTAGCTATGGCACCCTTGTCCTACACCTTCTTGATGACAGTAACAACCCACTACCAGTTGTGACAACCCAAGATGTCTCCAAATCTTGCCAAATGTCCTTAGGGTCACCATCATCTGTTGAGAACAATGGCCCTAATGAAATAACACAATTTGTGATTTTATATACCAAATAAGAGAGCTTTAAAAGATCTCTCTCTCTCTCTCTCTCTCTCTCTCTCTCTCTCTCTCTCTCTCCAGTGTCCAGCAGCAAGTATAGTAGTTCAGCAAGATTGCCAAGAGTCCAGGTTTCTTCTTTGGATTCATCAAATTGTATTTCCTTAAAGAACCTGGTCTAAGATGATTTGTGACCATTCTGTCCATATTCCAACTAAGAGGAAGATAAAAGCCAGAAGGGAGTATGTCTTTTCCTTTTAAGGGTATGACCCTAAAGACATTGTCACTTCCACTAGCTGAAAAGGAGGCTGATAAATGTAAAAATCAAGTTTTCATTCCCAAAATGAAGCATTAACATAAACAAATACATGAATAAATAATGAAAATGGAGAGAATGCACATCGGGGAATAACTACTGGTGTTTGCCACAGGCACCAAGGTATCTGGTGTGCACCTTTCTTGTGTTAAGAAAAAATTTTTCACCTCTTACCCAAGATCCCAGCCACTTACTGTACCCAAATCCAAGTCCAGCATATCTGGGTGCTATAGGTTGTTTCTCCTGATCAGAAAACTGTGAAAAAGAATCAACAGCAGATGACATTATAAGAACAGAATAATGTGACCCATAGGAAGACTACTACCCTGATAAAGACAGTTCTTGAGCTTGAGTAAGCCCGTCTAGCAGCCTCTGATTTTTGCACCCCATATTTTAATTCCAGAAGTTTTTTATGTGCCGTTATGTTCTGTGCCCACAAAAGTAGGGGAAAAAAAGAAACTATGCCTTTCTTAGGGACTACATTTCTTTTTAAATAATTATTTTATGTAGTTTTATTTATTCATTCATTTATTTTAATTTGAACAGAGAGAGACACACAAACACAGAGAGAGAGAGAAAGAGAAGGAAAGTGAGAAAGCAAGCCACCAGGTCTAGGACTCAAACTGTGGCCAGCCACCCAAATCCAAGTCCAGCATATCTGGGTGCTATAGGTTGTTTCTCCTGATCAGAAAACTGTGAAAAAGAATCAACAGCAGATGACATTATAAGAACAGAATAATGTGACCCATAGGAAGACTACTACCCTGATAAAGACAGTTCTTGAGCTTGAGTAAGCCCGTCTAGCAGCCTCTGATTTTTGCACCCCATATTTTAATTCCAGAAGTTTTTTATGTGCCGTTATGTTCTGTGCCCACAAAAGTAGGGGAAAAAAAGAAACTATGCCTTTCTTAGGGACTACATTTCTTTTTAAATAATTATTTTATGTAGTTTTATTTATTCATTCATTTATTTTAATTTGAACAGAGAGAGACACACAAACACAGAGAGAGAGAGAAAGAGAAGGAAAGTGAGAAAGCAAGCCACCAGGTCTAGGACTCAAACTGTGGCCAGCCAGTGGGAATGTCCAGTGCCTTCACAACCACATCACTTGCTGGTCCCATGGAGGCTACACTTTGGCAGTCTCCTTCCTGTTATGGTTATTTGGGTCCCCAGAGGGTTACTTTAGAGTAGAAATCATCAAAGTTTTTTTCTAGGTCAGGCTTTTAGTTTTCTTCTTTACTGAAGGTAAATATCTTGTGTTAGCATCCATTAGCAAGATTTCTACAAGTTTTGAACCTGGCTTTTACTTACTAGCCACTTTGTCATGCTTGTCTCCCTCTTCCCTCAATTTAATTGCAGCTTTCTTTAGATTCTGAAAGAATTGCTTCAGGAGAAAGGCAACCTCTATAAGATGATCTTTGCTACTGCATGACAGAAATAAATAATGAAAGAAAAATCTCAGGGTCACAGTTCTTTTTTTTTTTTCCTTGTAAGTCTTCTTCCTCAGAGCCACCCTACAAAACTGCTTTAATCAGAAGTAAAATACAGGTGGTAATAGTTGTTTTTCAACTCTGCAAAGCTCAAATTATTGGACCCTCATTCAGTTATAACATGGGATGTTTGTGGATATTCTTTCAAACTTCCCCAGCACCCAACACTAAGTAAGACTGTTAACACAAATTCAGTAAGTGTTCCAGTGAACTTTATAGGGTAGAGTGGGAGGAAAAGCATCAAGAAGAAAAAACAGAGAGGCAAGACATTCAAGGGACACAG